CTGCCGTCCCGGGGGCATCGCTTGGGAGGAGGAGGCGGGAGACCTGCACAACGACGACGTGACTCCTCACTCGTTCCCCCCGCCTCGTACACCTTCCTCCTCCTCTTCCTCCTCCTCTTCCTCCTCCACCTCCTCTTCCACGTCCTCCTCCTCTTCATCTTCCTCCTCCTCCTCCTCCTCCTCCTCCTCCTCCTCCTCCTCCTCCTCCTCCCTCCTCCTCCTCCTCCTCCTCCTCCTCCTCCTCCTCCTCCTCCTCCTCCTCCTCCTCCTCCTCCTCCTCATCATCTCCATCATCATCATCATCATCATCATCATCATCATCATCATCATCATCATCATCATCATCATCATCATCATCATCATCATCATCATCATCATCATCATCATCATCATCATCATCATCATCATCATCATCATCATCATCATCATCATCATCATCATCATCATCATCATCATCATCATCATCGTCATCATCATCATCATCATCATCATCATCACCATCATCATCATCATCATCATCATCATCATCATCAGCATCAGCATCATCATCATCAGCATCATCATCATCATCAGAATCATCAGAATCATCATCATCAGAATCATCATCATCATCATCATCATCATCATCAGCAGTAGCATCATCATAATCATCATCACCATCACCATCACCATCACGAACATCATCACCATCATCAGCATCATCATCAGCAGCAGGATCCTCATCATCATCATCATCACCATCATCAGCATCATCATAATCACAGGCATAATCATCATCATCATCATCATCATCATCATCATCATCATCATCATCATCATCATCATCAAGATCATCATCATGTCCATGTGACTGCGTCCGATTCCTTTCCAATAAGAGGCAGCTCCAGAAGCCGGACAGGATTTCGCCAGGGCTCTGCGCAGTTTGTCGGCGGAAGCTGCTCCGAACCAGTCGTCGCCAGCTCCGGCGGTCAGGGCGGGGCGGCTCTGTGACGCCTGCTCCAGCCGCGCGGCAGCGTCGAGGCCGAGGCCGAGGGCGTTTTCCGCGCGCTGGCGCTCCGCGGCAGCATCCGCAGCCTTCTGAGAAGCTTCACTCGCGAACCCGGAGACCAGAGGTCCTGGGCATGGGTCAAGAGACATGCCTGTCTTGCGTTCTCCCGGGCTCGACGGCTCCTCGGGTGCTCGCTTGACCCTGTCGGGCGTCGTTTTGCCTCGAACTTGTCGCACGGGTGTGATAGACGGCGTCGGAGTCCGCGGTGTGGGAGGTGTGCCGGCTGTGGAGCCTGGAAGAGCGGCACTTGTAGCAATATCGGGCGACAGAGGTCGTTTCCGAGTCACCGACTTTCCGGGCTTCAGCGTCGTCTCTTGGGAAGGGCTCTGAGCAAAGGATGGGCGATAGTCTCCCAGGTAGTCTGGGACATGTGCGGTCTACATTGCTTCAGTGCCTTTTGCAGAGCCTTCCAGTGACATTTGCGGTCTTTTGCTTCAGGGATGCTGTCCTCCTGCCGCATGGAGTACGTCCAGTAGTCCATAGCGCGCGGCATAGGAACAGACCCTTCTTGTCCAAGTTGTTCGGGAGAGGCGGCAGCTCGTCGTCCCTCTTGGGCCGTCATGGGGCCCTCTTGGGGGCCGCTTGGGTCGTCTTGGGGCGATTTGGCGGGGCTCGTGGCCCGTCTTGGACCGCGTAACATCAGAAAAGGCGGGTATGCTGAGTATGCACGCTTTCCCATAAGAATTTGACGATTTCTGCGTCCCCTCGGGGCCCTCTCGGAGCGTCTTTGGGGCCTCTTGGGCCGCCTTGGAGCCACATTCGGGCGTCTTTCAAGAATCTTGCACCGTTTCGGGACAAGCTGAAGCCGTCTTGCGGCCCTCTTGGGCCGTCTGCGGGCCCTCTTGGACCGTTGTCAGCCCCTTTGTGGGGCCTCTGGGCCGTCTTGGGACGATTGTGGGGGCCTCTTGGGCCGTCTTGGGCCCGACTGGGGGTCCTCTTGGACCGTTTTGGGCGCCTTTGGGGGGCCTCTGGGGCCGTCTTGGGACGATCCTTGGGGCCTCTTGGGCCGTCTGGTGCCCTTCGACCCGGAAAAGGCGAGAACCCGAAAAACCCACGGAAATCAATGTTTTTGACCTCCTCTGGCCCTCTCGGGTGCCCTCTGGAGAGCCTCCAGAGCCGTCTGGAGGCTCTCTTGGACTGACTGGATGCCATCCGAAACTCCCTTGGGATCGTCTTTGGATAGTTTTGGTGTCCTCTTGGGCCATGTTGGAGCCCTTCAGCCGCTTCACTCAAAAGAATACGAGGAAACGGGCGTCGGCTTCGATATACGATGGTTCGGCCTTCACAGCGCGGAAGACCCTCCAAGATGCCTCCAAGACCGCCCTAAGACAGCCCCATAGGCTCCCAAACCGGAACGGACACTTCGAACCTTCAGCTCCAAGACGCCCACAACGTGCCCCAGGGACCCCAGGAAGCCCCCAAGGAAATTACTCCGACGGAAGGACCCCACATGAGAATCCTCTGGGCGAATCTGGAAAACGCCCTCACCGTCGTCCTCGTGGTTGGTGAGGCGTCCTGGCTGTCTCTTCTGCGTATATTTCTTCTCGCCCTGGCGCGGGCCCTCCCCCCGCTCCCCACGTTGCCCCCGACCTCGCCCTCCTGTTTTGGCTCCGGACATTCAGAAAGTGGCCCGGGAGTGGTGTTCTGGGAACACGAAGAACACGAAGTGGCCTACAGTTGGCTCCGGGCATTCAAAATGTGGCCCGGGAATGGTGTTCTGGGAGCACGAAAGACACGAAGTGGCCTACAGTTGGCTCCGGGCATTCAAAATGTGGCCTGGGAGTAGCGTTCTGGCAGCGCGAGAGCCCAAAAATGGCGACAGTTACACGAATTGGATGACCCGCTCGGATTAATAACATGATCCGCGGGCCCCATAGGGAGGGGGCTCCCGCTTGAGACTTCCTCGCAATTCACTCACAAATGTGGCCTGGGAATGGCGTTCTGGCAGCGCGAGAGCCCAAAAATGGCGACAGGTACAGGAATTGGATGACCCGCTCGGATTAGTAACATGATCCGCGGGCCCCATAAGGAGGGGGCTCCCGCTTGAGACTTCCTCGCAATTCACTCACAGACGAGGCCCAAGGCGAGTGAGTGAGCGAGTGAGTGACTGACTGACTGACTGGTGATGATGATGATCACCACACTCTCGCACGCGCACACTCATCATCATCATCATCATCATCATCATCATCATCATCATCATCATCATCATCATCATCATCATCATCATCATCATCATCATCATCATCATCAGCATCAGCATCAGCATCAGCATCAGCATCATCATCATCATCATCATCATCATCATCATCATCATCATCATCATCATCATCATCATTATATGTGAGTTCATGAGCGTGTGAGTGAGTGAGTGCTGATGAGTGAGTGAGTGAGTGAGTGAGTGAGTGAGTGAGTGAGTGAGTGAGTGAGTGAGTGAGTGAGTGAGCGCACGAAGACAGAAGAGGAGAGAGGGTGAGGTGAGGAGGTTCCTGCGCGGGGTGTCCAGAGAAAACAAGAACCCCACTTTGGATGTGGGGAAAAAACAAAGGGATCGGCGGTGTGGCGTAAGCCTAAGAATCATCATTGCCGTCCCCACCATCACCATGTTCACTATGATGACTGTCCCTCATTGCCGCTGCAAACCGCCTGTGAGCGTGGCCGGCGATGCTCGCTGCCACCCTTGATTTCTGTCTTCAGCGCAACATCTCCAGTAGCTGGGGGTGCTCGCTTCGTGTTTGCGTCTAGGGGAAGCGGCATCGGCTGATCAGCGCAACATATAAACGCACCTTTGCGGTTCGCACCCTGGAGGGCTGGGTCAAACCTCTTGATGCCGACAGCATGGCCGCCGAACCACGAGGTCACGCACACACGCATAGCTAGAATGCCTTCTCCTCGTCCCCCTCCTCCTCCTCCCTCTCGCAATTCATCCTCTGGCCGGTCGCCGGCCCCGGCTGGCGACCGTTCAGATTGCCACGCAAACGTCTCGCGGGGAGAAGGAGCAATAACGAATTCCGCTTTCGACCAAACCGCCAGCGCACCGCTCTCAAAGCATTGCGTGGATTAGCTGAAAACGTCTGGAGCGCATGAGAAAAAAAGCTGCACCCTGTCGTGGCAACACGTGTATACGATGCGATTGCCCGCAAATCCGCCGACCCTGTCGGCGTGTGCGAGGGGCTTCCTCGTTCGAGTCGTCGTCGTCTACTCGTCGTCTCCGTCGTCGTCAGTCGTCTCCTCGCCGTTTCCGCCGTCCTTCCTCTCTTTCCCTGGGCCCCTCTAACGCCGTTGCAGACTTGAAGGGAAGCCCCTTCCCTTTGATCCCTTCCCCGCGCGCGGAGGGGGGTCCCGGGTTGGGGTAGGGGGGGTGTCCCAGGGGGGGGTCGCCACCAAGATTCGTTTTCCTCCCGGGCGGCCCGGATACCTCCAACAGTCTCAGAATGAGCCCAGAATGCCACATACGGCGCACAATACGGCCAAGAGAGCCCCGACTCGCTCCAAGATCGCCTCAATACGCCACAGATGGCCCCGAAACGGTCCAAGAAGCCTCCTAGACGTCCCAGGGAGCCTCCAAGAGAGCAGCCCCAAGAAGCCCCGGTCCAAGACGCCCAAAAAGACAGCCCCAAGACGGCTCAATAAGCTCCCAACGGTCGCCGAAAACGGTCCAAGAGGGCGACCGGACGGCCCAAGAGAATCCCGTGGGCCTTCAGAAGGGCTCAAGACGGGGAGCCCGAAACGACAGTTCGGGCCTGGCGCCCCAAAGAAGCTTTCAAGAGGCCCCTTGCGCCCCCAAGAGGCCCAAGGAGACCACCAAGACGTTCCCAAGAGGCCCCAATAGGCCCCTAAAAGGTCCCGAAACGACTCCCTCCTCCTCCTCCTCCTCCTCCTCCTCCTCCTCCTCCTCCTCCTCCTCCTCCTCCTCCTCCTCCTCCTCCTCCTCCTCCTCCTCCTCCTCCTC